AAAACAATTAAAAGCAATTAAAATTACAATATTACAATAATAAATACAAAATTAAAAGATCCAAATGTTGTAGCTCATATATGTTTGATGGTGCTAAATTTTGCTTTCATGGTTTAGTTTTTTACAACAATAGTGAAGAACAAGAATTATTACTTTCCCCCTCCCATTTTGTTAATACAGCCCATTGAATTTAATAATGCAACACCTTTTAAAAACAACATTACTAAATTCTTTCTAGAAATTGGTGGGTAAGGTAGAGACTTGGCCTGCTCTTGTGGGTTCTTTTTGCTGGAGGAACTTCAACAGAGGCTGAGTACTATAGTCCAGTGTTTTCAACCTTGGCAACTTTAAGATATATGGACTTCAACTCCCAGAATTCCCCAGCCAGCATGCTGGCTGGGGAATTTTGGGAGTTGAAGTCCACGTATCTTAAAGTTGCAGAGGTTGAGAAACACTGCTGTAATCATTTGTCTGATACAATATAATTGTGTACTAAGCAAGAGGTTGGGCTAGATCAGTGTTTCTCAACCTTGGCAACTTTAAACTGTGGACTTCAACTGCCAGAATTCCCCAGCCACCATGGCTCACTGGTGAATTCTGGGTGTTGAAATCCATTCATCTTAAAATTGCTAAGGTTGAGAAACACTGGGCTAGATAATCTCCGACGCCCTTTTGACTACAGTTTCTTGGCTGGGTATATATATTGCTAAGCTGAAATGCCATTTTGGCTAAGATTAATGTTTAAACCCAGGCATTATGACATTTGCAAACAATAGTTAAATAAATCCTGAGGAGTCCAACTCTTGGGCCTTTAGCCATAGCTTTTTCTTAACATACACAGAGCAGGATTTTTAAGCATGAAGATAAATATTATTACATGCTAATATTCCCAAAAGCTGCTGGCATATCTACAGTGATTGTGTAGTTATCAACAAACTACGCCCATTAAATATGCTTAATTCTTCTAAAGCTGGGTTCACACTACAGTTTGTTGACTGACAAACAGCTGGCATAATGCTAGTTATAAACTGTAGATTATAGACCACAGTGGCTGAACCAAAGCCAAACAAACCACATCATGGCTTACTATGCTTGCGAGCCCAGCCTGAATACTGGCATTGTCCTAACAAAATTCTCAGATCCTTACTTCTTGAATTCATCCTGGAAAGGTAAAAACAGCCATCTCTTTGGCATGGTCTTCAGAAACCTGTCTTGCTTTTCCTCTGTTTTGTCCAATGACACATAGATGAGAACTAGTTGAGATGCTCGCTCCACATAAAACTTGTCTGTGAGTTTCACAAAAAAATTTTTCAGGACGGGCGCAAACTCTTGGCATCGAGGACATTCACCAGAGCCAAAATAGAGGAGCATGATTTTGTTCTCTAATGTCCGGGTGAGCTCACGTTCCAGTTCCAGCTCATCATTGTCCTTGTTGTTCACAATAAGGCTCCTGTGGATAAAAAGGGCAGCCATGGCCACCAGAGGGCTACCGCGTTTAAAAAACCATTTTTAGGTAATAAATAAGAGGCTCTGTCTCAGATTAGCACCGAAAAGAAAAAAGAGGGACAACATTATTCAACAATTTTCGCCATCGTTATTTAATGACTCTCTCCTATCCTATCTCCCACACTAAAGGCTCAGAAAGTGGAATGACAAATCTAAAAACACATACTGTACGCTCATCAATGACATGCCCTTTTGCTGTCTACAGGCTTTATCCTTGTCTGTGGGGAGGGGAGAGACAAAACAGCAGACTGCACCATTGCACAAGGAGGCGGCCTTGCTTTTTAAATGCTGCCTTGTGTTAAAATATTGTCTGGTCATCAAAAAGAAACAAGGCATCACAGGAGAAAAAAAAAATAGCTCAATCTATTTCCTGCTCTGCTAATCTACCTGCTCAGCAATTAAAAAGAAAAGTGGTAGAGTAGTTTGTTCTGTCCCCTGGGAAATCTGCCATTTCATTCAGCTAAATGGATAGAGCAGGTTCATTTCCCCAAAGTCTAACCCCAAAAGAAAGTATAAGGAAAAGAGCATTGAACAAAAACAATTAAAACCCAGATTCAAAACTCAGCACAACTCTAAGCAGGTCTCTTTTTCTTGCTGTCCTAGCCTACCTCTAACAATAACTAGAATGGTTGGGCCAAGAATAGTAAATTATTATAAATGTCCCTATTGCAAGCCATTATATGGTAGTAGCTACTAGAGGGGATGGCTTAGCTAGTACTATACAGGTAGGCCATTGAAAATCATCAGGTCTGGCCAATAGGAGAAACAAATATCTACATCTTTGAATGGATCTTAAATATTTATTAAACCTGCCAGGTATAATGAAATTCCTAGGCGAGGATGGGGAACTTGCTGTCTCTGCAAAAATTAACAAGACATTCCTGCTTTAATTTAGTTTGATTTTCTCTCACCATAAAGCCACTTTGCTGTTGAGAAGGTAGTATGCTGTTATTGTCAGGTCTTCAGACCACTGGGAAGATTCTTCACAGTCTAAAAGAAGCCACTTTGTTCCTAGACTTTAATTCATGGCTAATGCTAATAACCTTTCTTACTGAATCTACCCCCCTACCTATTAATAGAAGAAATAGCCAGTACTTTAATCTTCTTACAGTAGCCATTTGGAAAGAATATGACCAGTGCATTTTGCTTGCCATAAATCTCTTTATCATGCTAACAGATTATGAGACAATGACCCATACCATTGCACCCTCCTTCAGCACTTTTATTCTTAATACTGGCAACCTGTTGCACAACTGAATCAGTTTATCAGTTTAAAGCATTTCTTCTTTCTTTTATATAAAAAGCAACTAGCATTCATTAAGTGCTATTTTTAAAAATGACAGCAATATAAAAATAGGCTAAGATGAAACAGCATATAAAACTGCACAATCAGGGAATAAAAATACAAGCTGTGTTGGATTGACATATATTTGTAGTCCCTGATAATAATAAGAAAATTAGATTTTACAAAGGTTTGAAAACTGATCCAGAAGAACATCAAAGAGAAAAGGAAATGTTCCTATCCTGCTAGGCGGAATAACCAAAGAGAAGAATCTGGGGTGGGATGGTTTGTGACCATACTTTTAAAAAATAAATTATGTGTTTTATGGCATGTTTTATGGTCTTCTTGTTCCCCCGAGGTAGATTTTAGCAATTTTATTATTTGGTTGATTTCTTTCCTTGTTTTGTTTGAATTCTAATCATTGATATTATGTAAGCTGCCTAGAGTTGCAGTTGTGACTGAGGCAGCAGACAAGTTCATTATAGTACATAAATAAATATTTCTCTTTCTAATCAATTTCCCTTTAAATGTGAGATACCTAAAATAGCCTTCAATTATTATTTTGATAGGCTCATAAGCAAGAAAATAGGTATCTAGGTTCCAAGCCCACCAGGGATTTGGGCCTTTAAGCTGACCGCTACTGTGAAGTGGCATTTTAACTACATTATTTTGCAGGATTGGCCTTCATGGATGTAATATCAGACACAGAATACAATGTTTGTTTGCTGTTCAGGTGTGTCCACGGGGGCGGGAGGAGAATAAGGGCCATAGCATCAGGTTTAGCCCAAAGAACTCTGAGAGACAATGCAAATTCAGTTCTACTGAGTCTATTAGCAACAACCTCTAGACAGAAATCTCCCCAGACTGAAACCTAGCTCCCAAGCCAGCCAGCCACAACACTGTGAATTCCTCCGGGAGGTGCCAACCTCATCCTCTTGAACTTCCCACGCTCCTCCGGTGAACTAAGAACACGCTTATCTCCCTGA